TTTAAAGCGTAACTCAACAGTTATAAATTCACCTAACACAAATATTTTTGTAACAATTGACAACATGTAATAATTAATATTGAAAAATTATAAAAGTAAAGTATATTAAGATTAATTGAAAATTAAAAAAAGNAAGTAAAGTATATTAAGATTAATTGAAAATTAAAAAAAAATAATAAGTGTCCGTAACCCCAAGCTAAATTTTTATTTATTAGTTTGATATTTATCATAACTAATTAATAAGTAATTTAAAAGTTGTCAACTTTTACCAAACTCGCCAATATACCAAGAATATCTTTTTGGGTTTAAAAAGATACAAATATAATTGCCTCTAATGTTAGTACTGTATCATAGAATTCTTCTTCTTATCGTGTTCGTCTTTATTATAGATGCTTTGTTTTGTTATAATCCTTTTTTACTACATTGATTAGCAACATGTATTATACTATACATATCATAGACTTAATTTCATATATGATAACAATAATTCATATTTGTCATAATTCAAAGGAAAAAAATATTAAAATTCATTATATTTAATGATAATAATTATTGAAATTTTAACCAAGTATTTGATTTTAAAATATTATTAAATTTGGAACAAGATGGATTTAATGATTTTTATAAGATATAATATTTTTCATAGATAATTTCTCCATTAGGTGTTATTATCGTAGCAGTAGCGAAAATTCACTGGATAATATTTAAAAAGCCCATTAAAAAAGCTATAGGTGCACATTTGGTGAAATAACATGTTTCTGAATACTTCTATTTATAAATTACCACCACTATTTCTATTCTGTTTTTACTAATTTTACGATTATTTCTAAGGAAAAAGTTCAATTATTGTCATTAATAAAAATTTTACACAGAATGCATACATACGGTTTTTAAATTTAAATTAAATACATTTTTCCTTCCATCAAAGTTGAGAAAAGATTAATTTTACAATGATGTATTTAATTTTGTTTTTCGTATAAATACTGAGCTCTTTTTGTGCTTGTAGTGGAACCGTTCAGCATCAATAATGTGACCTCTCCCTCTTTTTAGGAATTCATAAAATGATCTCAAAATTAAGCAGTCTTCAAAAATATAATGAACCTCATTTTGTTTTATTAACACAAATATTTGTAACAATGTCATTTATTATTATAAAAATGTATATTTGTATGTAAATTTTCAATTGTTAATAATTTAACGTTATTTATTTTTACCAATATCTTAATATTATAATAATTAAAAATAATAATACAGAATTAAATGTTTCAAAAATAACAAAAAACGCATTTCCATAGTTTTATTGAGCGCTATGAAAATTTCTAGAAAATTTATAATGCACATGCAATACTCTTCAAATCAAAACTAAACAACTTTAACAAAAAATAAACCTTAACATCTTTTATACGAGCGAAAAACTACAAATTAGGTAAAAAATTAAAATTTAAATTTGCCACCGAACCATCGTGATTGTTCAACGACAATTTACGTAATATAATACTGGCACCTTTCATTAGGGAAAAATAGTGTCTCTTAATTATATAGTCTCTGTCCGTTTCATTGCATTGCCTAACCAATTATCCACATAAAGTTCATTAACTGTGTCAAACGATTGACATGAGTCGGGATATTTACTGAATTCCCATTTTGCCAACTTTTCTAGGCAAGCTGTTGACAAAAAATTTGCACTTGGTGTGTTGTGACACGTCACAGTTCGTAGCGTGGTAATTTTTCAATAAAATATTTGGATTATACGCCTCACGATTGAAGTTACTATGTAATCCAGAGTACAGTAACACTCAACACTGCTCCCATTCACCACGATTACTTTTGACAAGAACAATTGCTGTTGGTAATAATATGGACGTAGCAGCCGGTTAACTTGCATGTGCACTAACGTTTGCTAATTCATTTAGAGTTATTTGTTCTGATTCGATATTTTCCGAATTTTCCGATACGTTTGCTACAGAGTTGAACTTTGCCTGATCGGTCTGTCAAAATAAGTGTAACAGTGCATTATGTTGTTTGCCACAGTTAAAATAGCCGCGAGCCAAATATGTTTTCTTCGGGTTTGTCTGTAGACAATTTCTACATAAATTGCGTTAAACTACCAACAATGCTAAGAGACTAGGGCATCGATACATCGAGTGATTTCCATGATAATTAAAGTATTTTTTGTCCGTGATTGTAACCACATAAGCATTGCTACGTATCGAAGGTTTTTTGTTAAATAGACTATAAGAAGTCGGCGTTGTAGATTTTCTATAGTTGATTGTTTTAGACGATTCAATCGCTTCTATTATTATAAATCGTTTTTTTTTTAATTTAATCAATTCGATAACTCTAGTAAGATCATTATTGTTTGGCTGACAACTGGCCATTAGTATGAATTAATGCAGAAAAGATATCACGATGTAGTCCATTGCTTTTAGTGGCCATGAATTGTTGGGATATCTAGCGGGGCTAATATTTTAATTGGCATTGCTACTGTTGAAAGTGTTGTGGTAGTGTTCTCTACAACAGCATTTTACGCTTTGTTGAATGCCCAACTCAATTCAGATACCACATTTTAAAAGGCGTTATAATAGTTTATCAGTGGCATAATTTTATTAAGAGAATTCAATAAAAAAAATTTTTATCTTTTATTTTTCCTATACTCCATATTCTGCTTTGTACACNCATGATTTAATAAGTATTCTACCTCAATTTTTACATTTTGCAGTAGGATTACAAAACTGGTTATGGAACTGTCAATAGTTTTATTTAGACCATTCTCAATTTCACAGTAAAAAATTATAATAGATTTCCGATTTACTTAAAAATGTAAACCATAAATTTTACCATTTGGAATGATGTTTTTTACAATAAACTTGATATTTATAATAATTTATAAAAATAAATTAAACTATATTTTACAAATTTTTATGAAAAATCCGAAAAAGTAAGATGGGATAGTTAGAAGAGATAGGGCTCATCAATGCAATTTTGACATTTTATATTAGTAACTTATATTTCTTTTGCAGTCATGAAACTATCCTGTTTTATTATATATTTTTCTAGGTTTTACAAAATTTAACATGTTTAATTTAACACATTCCGGACATGAGCGATCTGTAGCCTAATGGGATCCTTATCAATGTAAGCATGATGAAGTAGAGTTGTTTTTATTAGGGCAATCAGTGGCAATATGATCGTTAACACCACAACAGGCGCACCGTGCCTTTCTTCTGCAAAATTTGGCTGTGTGTCTGTAGCAAAGATAATTATTACAGATATGAGGCAAACGGATGTTAGGAGAAACCTTGAATATAACTTTAAATATTCATATTTTTTCAGGTAGTTTTAAAGAAAGAAACTTGAGCTCTACCAAATTAGTTTGAGTTGGGGTATTTGAATTACGTTTTGTGAATATACGACGAAAACGAATAATAGGAAACGGCAATTCGATACCTTCCCAAAATTCCTCCTCTGCTGTTGAGGTATCCAGGTGGATGATACCGTGAGAGTATATTAAAGTAGCAGGGATTGAAGCTTTTACGTTCATACCAGGCAGAAGGTTAGAATTCAGGCAATCATTGACAGATTCGATAGAATCAAATAAAACTTTAACTCTGGAGCCAACGGGAGTTATTTTTTTTATACCGCCAAATTTGTGGAAAAGTTTCCCAATTTTTAGTGGGTGTAATTTGCCGATACTGTGGTCGCTGACCGTGGATTCAATGAGAAATACGGGGGTCCCGTTAAAATTGTTTGAAAAAGATTTCAGATTAGAATCTACACTCGAATTATTAGCAATTTTTTTTACGGTAGACGAATGTACTGTTTCAGAATCATTGTTTACCTTATTTGGCGTATTTGTGTTATATATATCAAAGTTGCTATTGTTATTCATAATAGTATCGATGTCCATAGTATTAGAATTACTATCTGACGTTAGAGTAATGACATATTAAGATATGCCGTACTAGTTTCATTGTTATCGATCGATTCGTTAATATTGTACTGAAATTGTTCGGAGAAACCGAGCTGGTAGGAAGTTTTTTAGACTTAAGTTTTGCACTGGCAGTTGATCATTCGTCGGAGTCTTTTCGATTTTTGTTACTTTTATGCGCCCAGAATCGTTATTTGGTGAAAGGCCCGGTCCAACCGGCTAATTGGGCATACGGAAATTTAAAAAGCAAAAATTATGCGAGTATAATTTCACAAGTGGAAAATAAAAACAATATATATATATATATATATTGTTAGTGAGTGGCGGCTCGTGTCTTGGACGTTCCCATACTAAAATTATTTAAAAGACAAAAATTAATTATATATAATTAATTCTACATTTTTATTAAAATGCAAATTTTTAAATAGTAAAATTGTTATAGTACATTTGTCGTTCACAGATACATGAACGTGTCCATGTACAAGATCCTATCCAACTAGTCTAGTATAATATTCTACAATATTAATATAATGAATAATCTATTGTTTCGTCGTTTTCTACTCAAACTTATTAACTCTATATAATAGGGATAATATAAATTGACCTACTGTGTATATGTCTATTAAAAGTAACCAAAACATTTTTTCCAAAATTATTTTTATTCTACGAGTTGTAGAATGGGTAATGATGTATAAATAACTCTGTATATAGTAATTTAAGTTAGAGTAAATTTATCATTAATGGGGTTAGAATTACAAAAATATTAATGAACATAACTTGTTATGTTATAAATAAAAATAAAATAAATTTATCGTCATGATTTTGTGATGGGTAATGTTACATCTAAAAGAGATATACAAAAAACAAATAAATTATTAAAATTTAAACTAATAACAACATTATATTTTTTGTAAATTAATTGTAATTATAGTCAACATTAAGATACGAAATACAAACTGTAGTAATATGCCCAATTCACTTCATTACGCATCTTACATTTATCAACGAAAAATTTATAATCTGTATTCTATATTACTTGTATACAAAAAATAATTTAACTATCATAATACTGTACACTTTGTCTAATTTTAAAATAACAATCATGTAATGCTTAATTTTTTTACAGTATAAATATATCCACTAAAAGGCGCTGACAATATCCCTAGTTGGGGATATTCAATAGAATTTAAAAATGTCAAACAACCTCACGAAAAAACAGTATCATAGAGTTTTTTATTATACATCGAATATTATCTTGCACTCTTAAGTTTTCTATGATAATTTTTAAGGGAATTTAATCGATACATTTCTTATAAACACTTCAAATAAGTGTTTATACAATAATTATATAAAATATTATATAAAAAATTATATGAAAGTGTCGAAAACTTGACAGTGCAAGATGATATTCGATGTATAATCAAAACCTCTATGAATCTACTTTTTCTTGAGGTCGTTTGACTTTTTTATATTCTTTTGAATACAGCCAAAATGGCACCAAAGAATAAAGAGGGTCTTTTATTTATTATAATTTAGATAATTATGAATATATATATATATTATAGAACAAAAAGTTATAATAAAATTTTATAAACTATGAGTTGAATTTATCGTCTTTATCATCTTCATTGTATTCAACGTATTCGTTGTCTTCAATAATCGGCAAAAAGTTTCCAACCAGATCTGAAACGAAATAAAATTGTAAATTTATTTTCATTATACTAATAGTTGATATTTCCTCCAAAATTTATAAGTTTTAAATATTCCCATTAGAATTATTTAAAAGTTAAAACAATATTTTTATTATTATTGTTTTGTAACATATATGTTTTAAGTACCGCACTGAAAACCATTTTATTATTAAATTCATTTTTTATTTAAAAAATGTCAAATTCGTCAAATTTCATTGACCAAAAAGTTAAGTTGATATTTTTAGGAGAAAAAAAATTATAAGAATATATATCCTAATAATACCTATGCTACAATGAATAATAATATATTTACAAATAACAGAAATGTAACTAAGTAAAAATTAATTAACCTAACTGAAAAATGTAAGCAATAATTATAAAATGTTTGATAAAAGTACGAATGTTATTAAGATTAATTGTAACCCAAAAATGAATAATTGTAATTTATAAGTAAATATATTATAAATTATAATATTTATAAATATACATTTTTATAAGTAATGTATGAGACATAAACTGACACTTGGCTCGTCACCTGTGTATATCATCCCTAAAAGCATGCAAATATAATATTACCTCTAAGCTTAGTACTGCCCCTAACAAATTTTTTGAAAATAATGTTATAATAATATTTTTAAAACATTGTTTGTAAAAATGCTTTAAATTATATAACCATAGTCAACTTATTAAGTTCAATTATGATCAACAAAAAATTTTGAGTAGTTTTTTTGAAAATTTCTTACATATTTAATCAAATAGTATAAAAATTCAAACTAATATAATGTTACTTATTATATTTTATTTTTAATATAATGTCCTATAAATGACTATTGAAGTAAATAAAAACCTTTAATTAAATAAAATCAAAATAATTGTATTTACAAATTATAGATTTTCAGCTAACAGCTCTAAGAAAATTGTTTAAAATAATAATCCAACAGTATAGATAAAAACATGAAATACGACCGTTTCAATTACTAAAAAATGTTTTAAATATTTTTATACTTTTTATTTCAATTTATGATGATTACTATCACAAAGAATTTGATTTTCCTTATCTAAATTTTAATGGATGCCCCCAGTCACCACCTTACTAAATCAGCCAGTTTTACCGTTTTATGTTGCATGAGTTATTATGTTTGTAAATGTATATGTTATGTAATCGTCCTTACTCCTGTACTTTTTTGATTGTAGATTTTAATTTTACCCACCACCACCATCAGTCATTTGTTGTTGTGATATCAGGCAATTTTTACTTATTATTGTTCCTATTGTATATACGTTACCGCCAACTTGACCTCGTGCACATATTATATATTAATATTATTATATATTATTAGTGATTATAATCATAATCAAAGAAAATAATAATTATTATTTTCTTTCTTTATAATAAAATACTAAAACGGATTTGACATTAATTATATAAAAATTCGTGTTATATTATTTAATCTTTTTGTATATAATCGTATAACGAATTCTTAGAAAATTGACTAATCACTTACGCTCTAATTTTTTTTTGGTTAATAATTTACAGATTGTTTCAGAGTTAGAAAGATCTCTTAAGAATGGATTTTCCATGATTTTTGTTACATAATTTATTTTAATGGTACCATTATTCTTTATCTTGACTTCACGTAGATTTTTTTTTAAATCTGCTTCGTCATTTTTCATATCTTTAAGAATACAACTAATATATTCTTTTATGAACTCCCTTTTATTCTCTAAGAAAATACAAAAAAAATTATATTAATATAGAATAATCAAAATCGTAGAATAAAAGTAAAGCATAAAGGAACCCTATTTTCACATTTATAAAATCTAATATATATTATCGTCTTTTTATCACCTAAGAAAATACCAAATAATTTCTATTAATATAGAATATTAATCTACATCGCAGAATAAAAATAGAGCATTTTAAGCTTAATTCATTATGATATAGTTTAACTTTACAAGAACCCCCTGGAAGATCCATCCTAGGCCGTGGAAAAGACGGAGCACTAGGGATTTTGGTACCTTATCCTGGGGGGAAAGGTTATAAATAAGATTTATGATTTAATACAATTATTAAAATGTATTAAATGTTACAAGTTCTCATGAACAGACAAAAATAAAAATAAAATTAACTGTTAAATAAAACCACATATCAAAATGCATTAAATTAAATATATGGTACAAGCATAATAATAGGACAATGTATATATCACAAAAGAAATAGTTTAAAATATTAAAGTTAAGAGAGATAAAAATAAAAGTAGTGATGAAATAATAGCCAAAGATTCAAGAGGGAAATAGATATACTGGATATTAAAGGTTTAACGTGACACGGTCTTGAGTCGTTCTCTATACACGGAGCCCCGCGACCCGTGACACCTTTATCAGCCGTCGCCCTACTACGTGCATATGGTAGTTTGACTGACTAACACCGCGTGCGATACGCCACGGTACAAAGTCCAGCAAGTGCCGCACGTCCATCTACGACCCGCCGCAAATATACGAAATCATCTCCGTGACGCCTTACTGATCGGATCGCTCGTCGTCTGCTCCACAACGCCGAACATTCAATTACGAACATTGTGCCTTTATATATATTTACATAGATACTTGTCATTATTGTTTGCTACTTTCTGTTTCCGGATATTACGTATATATTGTGTTGTCGACGCCAATAAAATATTTCACGTTTACTTTGAACCTTTAACGTGTTGTGTTTTTTTTCTAATATAATAACACCCCGCGAGTGCAGCAGAATACTGACCGCAACAAACGTTACTCCATCAGTCAAAAAAATGTATACGTTGAAAGGTATTCAAATAATATTGCTTCAGGCAATAAAATTCGTTTTGATTCTATTAAGTATTATGTTCACATAATACTTAATAGAAAAGACAATTAAAAATGATTTACCAAAATCATGTGTAACAAGCTGTGTACAGATAGTCATGCATCCAACGCTTTATGTATCCTCTCAAAAGAGTAATTGACTTTATGATGATAAATAGTTTATCAATTTACATAAATATAATATTATGGAATCGATTTAATTAATCAAACCTATAAAATGAAATAATAGAATATAGATGATNCATCAGTCAAAAAAATGTATACGTTGAAAGGTATTCAAATAATATTGCTTCAGGCAATAAAATTCGTTTTGATTCTATTAAGTATTATGTGAACATAATACTTAATAGAAAAGACAATTAAAAATGATTTACCAAAATCATGTGTAACAAGCTGTGTACAGATAGTCATGCATCCAACGCTTTATGTATCCTCTCAAAAGAGTAATTGACTTTATGATGATAAATAGTTTATCAATTTACATAAATATAATATTATGGAATCGATTTAATTAATCAAACCTATAAAATGAAATAATAGAATATAGGGACATCAAGAGCATAACTGATCCAACGCTTATGCCAGGGTATATTGGACACGTCACCAACGTTAATGTGTAACCTCTACATAAATGTAGAGGGCCCACTGATATGTTCACCATATCCACCCTGACGACATCCAAGGAACTGTCGGCTCATGAAAATGAAGAAAGAAAAAATATAGGGTTTAACCAGTACTCATCATAGATAATTAATAGTTGACCTATATAGTCAGTAACTAAAAACATAACAATACATACCGTTTGGCCAGTTAACTAACAATAATAGAATATGACCAAATATTCAACCAACTCATAAAAACTATACATTAATTTAACGGTGCACACTGTGCAAGACAAAATACAAAAAAAGAAACAAATATATCACATTACAATAATTCGTGGTTGAAATGTCCAAGATGTAGCTGTATATGTTGTTGATGCCATTAAGATGGCCAAGCCAAATTGAAAAACTTTACTTCTCCATAACAGATTCGTAACACACGTCAAAAAAATTGATTAGACGATGATCCAAGTCAAAGAAGAGGGATGATGATGTTTTGAACATATCCGTACTTTTCCAAGCCGGCTCAATACACATAGGAAAGGGTAGGTGCCAGCGTGACCATTATAATGTGGTATAATATAGTACGGACATGCGGTAGGAAAAACGATTTCTATAATAAATAATTATGTGTGTATATGTAACACTGACCTTACAGATATACGACATGCACTGTTTGAATTGAGTTACCTGTGACCTTAGACTCGTGATAATTTTAAAACATTCAGAAAGAAACACTACTTTCACCCTCATAAAATCTATAAAATTATATTCTACTATTTTTGCCATTCCGTTAAAGTAGGACTTGTATCTGAATTTGTTTTCTTATCATTAGCTAATTGACGAAGAATATAAAAAAATTTGCACATTTATAGAATATAATACATTATAACTGGACGACTTATTTATAAGATGATTATTGACGAGTTTTTCATCTCATTTTTGATGGAATTGTATGAAAATATTTCTTTTTATTAATTTTCTAGTGTTCTCCTCAAAACTTTCCTATAAAGATTTTTTCACTCACATAACTTGATATTATTATGTTGAATTAAAATAAAGAAAACTTTTCACTGTACACTTTTATAAAAAAAATCAGATATATGAATAAGATTCATTGTTTTTTAGAATTTATTTAAATGTCTGTAAAGTACATCAAATTATATTGAATCAATAATTTGTTAGAATTATATTTAACAATAAAGTAGAGTTTTTCAATCAAACAATTTTATCCATTACAATTAGAATAAACCCTCAGGGGTGTGCTAAGCAATTAGCACTACGGGTTTGGCGAACCCGGGGCCCCGAGCCCTGAGATTACTTTAATTGGTTGTTTCAGTTTTGGTCCTCCAGTTTGGGGGTTTGGCGGTGGGCTAACAACTCACTCCAGTAAAAAAAAAACAGTATTAAGAAACCTATCACTACTAAGCCTCGGAATACAACAGATAATTTGGGAAATAGAATTGGAACTGGAACAGGAAAATCTGGAATATTTCGATTTGGAACATGGAACATAAGATCCCTGTATAAGCCACGGGCCCTAAAATGCATTACTGGTATAATTAAAGAATATAATGTAGATTTAGTAGCCCTCCAAGAAGTAAGATGGCCAGGGTCGGGACATCTTAAATCAGATTACATGACAGTATTTTATAGTGGAAACGATAATGGAAGACACGAGTACGGAGTTGGTTTTTTAGTGAAAGAGTCTTTCATAAAAGTAGTAAAGAAATTCTAAGCAGTAAATGATCGATTATGCTATCTAATAATTGATGGAAAGCCTTTTAACATAGCAATAATCAACTGTTATGCACCAACAGAAACGGCAGACAATGATTATAACGACTCCTTTTATGACAACCTAGAAAGAGTATTCGACTTAATACCTAGAAACTGCGTAAGAATTGTAGTTGGGGATCAAAATGGCCAAGTTGGACGATAACATGTGTTTAAATATACTATAGGAAAGGAAAGTATGTACAGTGAAAGCAATGATAATGGATTGAGATTAATAAGCTTCGCCTCAATTAAAGGATTAGTAATAAGTAGCACCCAATTCCAACGGAAAGAAATTTACAAACAAACCTGGGTGTCTCCAGACGGAAGAACTAAAAGCCAAATTGACCATATACTTATAGATAAAAGATATAGAACTAGTGTTAGACAAGTAAGAAGCTATAGAGGAGCAAATGGAGACACAGACCATTACCTTGTCATAGCATCTTTTAAAATCAAACTGGCTAATAGTTGGAACCAGAAAAAATTAAATAATAAAACACGCCTGGAAATAGAGAAAATTAAAGATCACGAAAGGGTCAAAACATACCGACAGAATCTAGATAACGAACTTATGGAAAAATCTCATAATACAGTGCAAAACATTTGTGATGGTGTCACGTTTTCATAATCGTGAGAATTATTTTAATAAAATACAGACAGCACATCCGCTGCCTGAGACTGGTGAATTAACAAATAATATTTATTGCCAAATCGGCAATAGGTGTAATTATTATAAAAACCCAATAGACCTGACCATCGTGGTCAGTCGACTCCAGTGCCTTGTGTCATTCATCAGTCTCAGTACTCGGTTGTCGCTGTCCGGCTTACTGTTTAAAGTAAAGTCTTTGTTTATTCCTTTTCTAACCTATATACTCTTTTCCTCGACATTTCAGAGTACTTGTGTCTTGCACTTCGTCTGCACCTCGTACTCTGTTATCTTTCCTCACCTGGTACGCCTAGTATTTGTGTCTTGCACTTCGTCTGCACCTTATACTCGGCTACCCCGTTCTCTCTCTGAAGTACTTGTGTCTTGCACTTCGTCTGCACCTCGTACTTCATTGTCCTCTCCTGTACCCCAAGTATTTGTGTCTTGCACTTCGTCTGCACCTCATACTTTGGGCTCCTTTTGCGTACACCTAGTATTTGTGTCTTGCACTTCGTCTGCACCTCATACCTAGGTGTTACTCTTATTCTCCCTTCCTATAACAACAGCCTTTCGACACCCACAGCTAACCCGGAGTGTCAGCCGAGCACGGTGACTGCTGTACGACAACACGCATGTGAATACCTAGACAGCAGGCACCAACTCCTCATATTCATCTTCGTACACATAGTTGCACATTTACCTTTTATCATTTTCTTTTACTGTGTTACGACACATTGATGAAAGATGGAACATAGTTAAGAACTCAATTAACAAATCATCTGAAATATTTAAAAAAGAAAACACATCCCATGTTAATAACTCATGGTTTAATGATCGGTGCAGAGAAGCC